AGACCCCTGGCTCAGACAATGCAGCCTGCATTCCTTATGATACCTAAACCAGACAAAAGCCAGAATGGCTACTTTGGGCTCCAGTGTGTTGGGGGGGAACCCAGCTAATGGTCAGTCAGGATGGATGGGGAAACTGACCATCGCCTGAAGCATTAACTTGGATGATTGGTTTCGGCATCTGGGATTTTTCCAAGAGAGGCCACTGGACTCCACTTCTAAAGCTTCTTGGATGAGAAGCGATGGGGAAACGAAACAACCACTTCATAAGCTCATGGCACAACCTAGGAGAACAAACCCATCAGGATTAGATTCGATAGTCCATCTTGATTTGAAAGATAGTCCATTAGATGGATTAGATAGTCCATCTTCATTTGAAAGACAAAGGCCGCTCTTTGGAAGACAGTGAAGTCCGCATTTTGGACAGAGAAGGCTGCTGGTTTGAAAGAGGGGTCAAAGGGGCCATCGGTGTCGAAATTGAACAGCGCTGTCTCAACAGAGGGGGAGGGATACAGTAACATCTATCTCCAATCTTCAGCATACTTTCAGCTGTTCCAAGAAGGCTCCACACCCATTTGCACCCCCATGAACAAGATAAATCTCCAAGGGGCCTCAACGACTTGCTGAAAGAATGCAAATGTCCAGCTGTCTGCAAGGAATATACATCCTTCCGTTTCCCACCATGCAGTCAGAGCTGAAGAAGCTTCTTGGATGAGGAGCGAAACGCCTTCAAAGAAAAATCAGAAAGTCTAGTTGCCTCTTTCAAAAAAACACTTTTGAGATGAGAAGAGAAATGTCTTCCAAGAAAACCCAAGAGAGTCCAGTTGCCTCTTGAAAAAGCACCTTGGGGACAAGCAAGATAGATTGAGACTCTCCGTAGACATTGAGCATCTGAGATGTAATAGGAATAAACCATTGTGATCCCCTCATTTAGGGGCTTGGTGTGTTGGATGGACCTAATCAAAAAGACACAGAGAGGGGAAGAAGAAGAAAGCGGGGGGGGGGTCATAAGAGAGAGAAAAAAGGGATGTCTGCGAGTCTGAAGCACCATTTTTTCTAGCTTGCCTTTTGGGGAATAGGTAGCTTAGGACTGTCATAGTACAGGTAGTCCTCGATTTAGGATGACAATTCAACCCCATTATGCTGGATTAGCATGACACGCTTGACTGAACTGGGTTTGAGATGGTCCGTTTTGCCTGTTACACGAAGTTAGGCCATCGCATTACTGTAAGCCAGAATAGAGCTCAGTTGGGTTTCTTAACCTTGATAACTTTTAAGATATGTGGGCTTCAATTTTCCAGAAACTGGCCGGGAAATTCTGGGGATTGAAATCCACACATCTTAATGCTACCGAGGTTGAGAAATTCCAGAAAGAGAGCAGTTGTGCTTTCTGATGGATTTAAAGAGTGCTGGGTAAATCCAGTCCATGTATAAGACCATTGGGGAACGAGGAAAGGAAAACGGGATAAGGAGTAAAGAATAGGATTGAATATGGATAGGATTGTTTTCTTGCCATTGATGTAGCCTCTTTTCCTGTCCACAGACGCATTGTGCTGAGAACCTGCTCAAGGCTGACACCTATCGCAAGTGGAAGGCTGCCCAGGCTGGGGAAAAGCAAGTCTCTGTCATATTACAAGTGAGTTTCTGCTAATCCCTTGGTGAGATTTGTCCCCAACACTTTCTGCAGTTGTTGGAATACTTGCAGTAGGACAACTTGCTGTAAGCATATTTATACTGTTACAGATGTATGTGTATAAATTATAGTTCTTCCAAACCCAATCCTATCCATGTCTGTCTGTCTGTCTGTCTATCTATCATCTCCATTTAACAACCCCATAATCCCTTGCAGGGTAGAATCTGGGCAACTGAATGGAGCTCGCAGAATGTTTTAATGGCCAGATGCCCTTCCTGTCACCAATGCGGAGTTTTGTTCAGCAGACATATTCTCAGTGTGTGCCCAGAGAGAGAAATATCTCACAGCCTCCTGACTGTGAGGAGAGAACTCCACCTCTAGGCCACCACACCACTCACATGTATATGTATGCATGTATGTATATATATATAACAGAAATAAATGCTTTTCAGGTAGTATTTAGAATTTCTTCATAATTTTCCTATTCCCATGGTTCTGCAGTGCATTACTGTATGCTCAGCCCTCCACCAGTCTCCTCAAAATCAGATACTGTTAAGATCTTAGCAAAAGCAGCAGCTGGAAGAGGAACACCTTGTTGTCTTAGATAATCCCTGTCAGTCAAATTGGATAATGATGACTTTGGTCCTGATTTAGTTATAGGATAACTTTATTTGCTGTTTGCATGGTCATATACCTGGTTGGGGCGTATTTGTTTAAATCAATATCCAACTGTTAAGATCTGAGCTTATAGCAGGGCTGTCAAACTCATGGCCGGTTTAGCAAAGGGGGAAAAAGTCCCAATGCGTCATGTGACGCCACCGTGACGATGTGAGTTTGGCACCCCTGCCTATAGGACTCCTTTCGTGCATTTTTTTCCACAGTCTTTTACTGTATTCTCCTTCCCTCACAGTTTGAAAAAGAGGAGCAGATTCACAGCATTGATATTGGCAATGAAGGCTCTGCCTTTGTGGAAGTGTTGGCTGGTAGCTCTGCCTCTTCCAGTGAGCAGAATTATGAGGTGAGTGAATTCGGTGTCGTCTGAGAGTTGCCATCACAGCATGGAAGTGGTATTTGTGTGTGTGTGTGTGTGTGTGTGTGTGTGTGTGTGTGTATGTGTCTTCAGTGAAGGGGGTTTGGTGTTACTTCCTTTGTTCCATTTGAATATGTACAGTCACAATTGGTAGGATTCCAGCAATGTAAACCAAACGTCATTTGAATACAGGTGTGTGTATGGGGCTCCATGCAGGCTGACTGCTTAGCAGTTTAGGCAAAGCAGTGTCACCTGTTCTGGGTGTCAAACTCGTGGTCCACAGGCTGGATGTGTCACCTGTTGGCCACACCCCATCCCCGTTTTTAGTGGGGGGAAGGGGGAAAAAGTTGCGATACAACACATGGCAACGTGTCATCGCGAGTTTGACACCCCTGCACTAGAGGCACAAGAGAGACCCTGCTTTCCCCCTTGTATTTAATGTGTGCAACTCTCTCCCCTCAGAAGCCCCGATTGTGATTTGATGTTCTGTTGCTCGCTCTCAGGCAGCTTGGGGAGGACTCTTCTGGATTAGGACTGGAATTTAGTGAGAGATGTATTTTCAAAAAAGCTGTGCCTCTTGATCTCCATTGTAGTGCTTTCCATTCCACCCCAGGTGCTGTTGGTTACATCCTCCTTCATGTCTCCCTCAGAGAGCAAGAGTGGCACCAACTTGAACCGAGTCCGTATGTTTGGGCCAGATAAACTGGTGAAGGCTACAGCTGAGAAGAAGTGGGACCGAGTTAAGATTGTTTGTACCCAGCCGTATACCAAGGTTTATATTTTGGAAACAAAATATATGGGATGCTGGCTGGAGTCTGTCTTGGACTCCTGCATTTATTTCTTCCTCAGAGGTTTGATAAGGAGCTGGTACTTCTTAGCATACTCTTTAGCAATTGTGTTTAGTATCAAATGGGTTCCGTGCCTTCTTATAACTGCATTTCAAAGGTGAGAGAGTCATCGTTTTATATATAAGAAAAGAAGTCGATCTCAGGCAGTTTTGATGATTATCTGGCAAACAGAAATTGTGAATATTAATTTCTTCTAAATGGGACTCCAAATTTCTGGGTGTTCACCTTTCTGGAGGTGAGGTGAAGCTCACTTCCAGAAGTTCGCAATTATGCCTTTTCTAGATGAAGGTCTCTAGATAGCTGAACAAGCTAAAATCTCCTTGGTCCTTTTTTTATAGCCTTATCTTGTGAATGTTTACTCAGAAATAAAGCTCGCTGGCTTCAGTGAGACTGATTCCCATGTATATAATCATTGAATTGCAACTTTACAAGTGGGCTAACTTCTCTCAAAAGAGTACTTAAACTCTAGGATCAAAAAAGGTGTAACAGTTATTAGCCGCTTATGTTAAGCAAGATTTGTCCCTAAGGCAGACTGGCTCTTGACAGACCCAGAGTTGTCTCGTGGGGTCATCTCAGAGTTGACGAGGGACCTGGCCATGCCCACCCAGCCAGCTGTGACAACCAGGCCATGCCCCCCCTCGCCCCCCCAAGGGCAAACAGGATCCTGATATGGCACCTATGGGATTGAGTTTGACACCCCTGCCCTAAGGCATGCTAGAAAGAGAAAATTACAAGCTCTCAATAGGTCAAACCTTCCTGTTGACTTATTAAGCCCACTAGGGCTTAATACCGGCAATGAAGGCTCTCCAGATTTCAGTTTTCAGATTTTTTTGGAGTTGGGAATTGTAGAAGTTGTGTATGTCCCCCGAGAAGGCTATAGTAATGCTAGTCTTACTTGTTTCTAACATTCATTAGCCACATAGATTTATCTGCCTTCTATTTTAAAACTGGTTTGTGTTCCACCTCTGGAGGGAGAGTGGTCTGCCATTAGAGAAGGCAGTTGGCGTGCACAGAATGACAAATTGTGGCTGTCTGATTTGCCTAAATCTGAATCCTCTTAATTTCTCTCTTCAGTCTCTGGCTTATGGCCTTTCCTTCGTGCGGTTCCATTCTCCTCCAGACAGCAGTGAGACACATTCCAAAGCGGTTTCACCGGTGAGGATCCCTTGAGTTACATGATCCCTTCCAGCATTTGTGATCCTGTATTTTACCACACTTCTTTAAAATCTGGGCATCTCGTTCTCTTTTTGTTCCACCCGCATCAGAAGGTCACCAAATTGGGCCAGTTTAAGGTGAAGGAGGATGATAGCAACTCCAGCTCTCTGAAACCTGGTGCTCTCTTTTTCAGCCGTGCCAGCAAACCTCTGGTCTCCCCTCCTAAAGGTAATTCTCGCAAGTTTTTTTTTTCCTACCTAAAAGTCATCCAAAGATCACAGTTACTATTTCTCATCCCAGCCAATAGCAGGCAATAATCTTTCTCTGTTGTGACTTAGAAGCTGATAATATATATATGAGATTTTGCTCTTGCAATGCTCTGTCAACACTAATTGCTATTATCAAATAGAATCTGGTAAAGTGAGATGTTACTTTCTTCATTGGCCGTTCTTGAAATGAAGCTTTTTTTCAGCTGAAAATGTCCGTTCTAACGCTTTATCTGCTCTTTAGCGTTTGCAGTGTTTTTGCCATCCATAGACATCCACTTTGAGATTGGTAACTGATGACAATGATGATAATAAATAAATAAATAATAATTGATAATAATAATAATAATAATAATAATAATAATAATAATAATAATAATAATAATAATGGCTATTCTTGCAGCATCTCAGAATGACCAGCCTTCGCCCAGTTATGCTGCTGCCTCACTACAGACCAACAAATCTCTTTCTCCTGACTCTTCACCATCAACAGTGGAAAAGCCCACCACCAAAATTCCACCCAAGGTAAAGAAGAGAAAATTGAAGC